TTTTAGGCATGAGTACAAAGTATGTGTGGTTTAGGAATATTAATGTAATATAATGAATTGATGTTGGGAGAACAGGAAGACAGATAGCAAGCTTTGCTTGTCCATGTAAATCAGCAGTGTTCCTGCAGAGGTAGAAACTCTGTTAAAACTTGGAACTGTGACAAAACACAAGCTTTTTTTTGTTTTTTGGCAGTACCAGGGTTTGAACACAAGATCTCACACTTGCTAGGCAGGTGCTCTACAGCTTGAACCGCAACTCTGATCCCTTTTTGCTTTAGTTATTTTTGTGATAGGGTCTCACATTTTTGCTTCAACTGGCTGCAGACTAAGCCTCCTGCTTAGCTTGGGTCACCGGCATGCAACACCACTGCCTAGCTTATTGGTTGAGTTGGGGGGTCTCACTAACATTTTACTTAGGCTGACCTTGAACCACAATGTCCTGATGTCCGCTCAAAGGGAGTTAAGATTATAGGTGCTCACTGTCATGCTTGACCTTTTTTTTTTTTTGATAATAAATACTTAAGTTTAATTGAGATTTCTTTATAATTCAAAGATAATTGATTACATGCCATTGGAAGAAAAGTTGTTCATCTTTCCTCAGTAAAAATGACTGCATATGAAATATGATGGCATATGATTGAAATGTGTGCCTTTGTCCACAAATACTATAGGAAAACACAGTAAGTACTGTTGAAGATCTGAAGGGTAAACTTTTTTTGTTTTTGCAGTACTGGGGCTTGAACTCAGGGCTTACACCTTGAACCACTCCACCAGCCCTTTTTTGTGATGGGTGTTTTCGCAATAGGGTCTTGTGAACTATTGACCTGGGTTGGCTTCGAACCAAAATCCTCCTGATCTCTGCCTCCTGAGTAGGTAGGATTATAGGCGTAAGCCACCAATACCCAGCTGAAGGACAAACTATTTGGCACGGATGTTTGCCAAGTGTACATACAAGCTTTAATGAAAGACTCCTTGGATGTGATTTATGGTTATTGTTGATAAAGATAAAAATATACTATTTTTTTTCTTCAAACAGAATTTTTATAGTTTCTGGCCTGATTAGACATAAACTGTTAAAAAAAATTCTGCCTTTCTTAGGTAGATTTCAAACATTTCCATGTTTTGTGCAGGGAATATATCCTATAGGAATAATCAAACATTATAATGTTAGGAAATATTCCTCTCAGTACTTATTCCTCATTTTAAATAATGAGAGAGAGCATACTGATTCAAAAGACCAAGAAAAGTTGTCACAATGTCATAAGAAAATACTTTATTCACACAAAAAACATTAATTTGCTTTTAGAAATGTTCTTCTGGCAAATAAGAGTCTGAATATGAGCGTTTTTGTTACTAGGAAGGTATTAGGAACACATTTCTGAACCAAGCTACTTTAAATGGACATTCTGAGTTAAGTTGAGGACTTTGGAATGTATTAAGAAAAAATCCTTCACATTTCCTTTTTATTACAATTCATTAAATCTGTTTTTTCTTACCTCTGAGTCAAAAATACTTTTGTATAAATACATGAGAAAAGGGTTTCATCCTTGAAACCCTTGCATATCAGCAATTAATCTACTATCATTTCCACCTTGATGTTCTTGGTGAAGAAAATCAACACATTTCCTGGTATCTGGCTTTCCATTAATTCTTCATTTAGTTTTGCTTTAAAAGTTTGGCAAGAGCCTGTGAACGTGGGGATTCCCTCTGCCATTGGAGGGAATTTGTTACTGAAACAAGCAAGGAGGGTGCATACCCTGGCGTACATGGGGGGGTAGATGGCTGAGGAATCAAACTCACCACAAAAGGAAAGATTGTTTTTGTGAAATTCACAAAGAAAATTGGTCTTACTTAAGATGGACCAATCCATAACCAGTACCTGGATGAGCAGTGCTGTAGGTCTGGCCTGGGTGGTCTATTGTAAAACAACAAAACAAAACAAAGCAATCCATATTCTTAAAATGGCCTTATAATAAAGACCATTTTCACAAGCAGAAGTGCATTTTCCGCACAATTTGTCCTTACCTATGACTGAATTTACTATTTGTTTGACTTCCTTCTTTTTTTGGTCTCTTGTTCTTGCTTGTCATGCATCCTTCATGTGAAAAGGTTTAGATGGGCATATCAAAAATAAAACCATTGCTTAATTTTCTGGTGCTGCTACATAAAAATTCTAGCAGGAAGTAAACTTTCATATCTCATATTTAATTACTTTCTATGGTATTTATATTTTTTCTTCCACTTTTATCAGCCCAATATAAGAATGACTGTATTTATTGTAAGATGTGAAATGGATTTTTTTCTGTAAAAAAATCATCTTTTTTATTGATTTGGAATTTTTTTCATTAAAAGAATGAATCATGTATATTTGGGGAAGCATATCATGTTAAATATAACATGTTCTTCATAAATTTCAATGAAAGTACAAATTGTAGGTTATTATCCTTGCATTAGCTACTACTCACAGATATTAGGAAGGGATCACACATGCTTGTTCATGAGGGGTCACATGTTCTACACCGTCAGCATGTGGGGAAAACACAGATGATGTGATGATTACAGTGACTTATAGTGTGGTCCTTTGAATGGAAAAATGGTTCCAAACACACCCACAAAATAAGCTCGATTCTTCCCTGAACTCTAAAGGGAGATATAACTTCCCTGCCACATGGAATATTATTTTTCTAGATTTGAGAACAGTCCAACTCAGATCAGAGGGCAGTAACTGTACTTGGTTGAGTCTCACCTTGCTTGAAATTTCTTCTTTTTGGGTTGCATGGTGTGTGTCTCTTAGAGCTTCTGAATATAAGTATATAACTTGCTGAGATGGGGAGGAACTAATTAATATTATTTTAACTTTAATAAGGACTTTCTGGAAGCTAACAATGTAGTGAGGACAAAATATGTGGCTGGGATCCTCATTTACGTGTCAGTATTGTTTGGGCCGGAGGTGTTCAGTAGTGACTGTGAACTCTGAAATGTCCACCTATGTCTTCACATACTCCTGAGGAAGTCATCATTCACAAAAAGGTCATTTCTATTGCATGTCTTATTTCAGCTAAAGATGACCTTACCTCAGTAACTCAATCTGTCCTTCTGCTGCTATATTAAAGTAATTGCTGTAGCCTGGAGAGTCTGACTGAACACCATCTCTCTTTTTATTTTCATTGTCCCAATCAAGTTTAAGACTTCATCACCTCTTGCCTGGACTACTGACTTGCTTGCAAAAAAGAAATCAGTATTTCCAGCATCCTCTCTGCTCAAATCTGGTTAAACTTTTCTTCTCTGTCTCTCTCTTTTTGATTTGCCCTAAACTTATAATATTTCTGCTAAAAGCATTATGTGACTATTCAATGATACCAACAAAATTGACACTAGCTTTCTTTTTTTTGACATTAAAAGCCACAACAGTGTCCGATTTTTCCTTCACTTTCCTTTTCCTCTGCTGTTCTAAATAGCTGCCAGACTCATTGCGACTTCTTGTACATGTCCTGTGAACACTTGCATGGTGCTGCCTGAGTGCATCACCACGTGGAGAATACTCTTGCATTTCTTGCCTAAATGCTGTCTTATTTGACACATATTTTAGATACATCCTTTTTTTTCTTTCTTTTTTTTTTTTTTGGTGTACCAGGGCCTTGTGCTTGCTATGCAAGTGTTGTGCCACTTGAGCCACACCTCTAGGTCATTTTGCTTCAGTTAGATATGGTCTGCGAGTCTCAGACCACAATCCTCCTATTGCCGCCTGCCAGGTAGCTGGGATTACAGGTGTGAGCCCCAGGCTCTGCTATTCACATTCTTTATGAAATTTTCTGTATTTTTTTCAACCAGATATGATCTTTTGTTTCCTCTGTACAATTATAAGTATGTAAATAACTTCCTTGCCAGATCCTTGTTTATTTTCTAGTAGTTTTTATTTTGTATTATTTCTTTTTTTGGAGTATGAATATACTAAGGAAAGATATTATATTTTATTATTTCCTGTATATTTTATGTAGTACATTTGATGCCCTATATAAAATGGGACCACTGTAAATATTTATCAGATTAAGAGTAATGTGTCACAGACATATACAAATAATTGATGTAATGCACTTTGAAACTCCCTGTGAGGAAAGACTATTTTATATTGCACACAAAGTTGCAATTTGAAAAGGTGTGTGTTGGCCAGGGTCATAGCACAGTGATAGAGCACTTGTCTAGCATGCAGGAGGGCCAGGCTTTGATCCCCAGCACTGCTATTAAAAAAAAAAAAAAGATAGGTGTTGTTTTGTAAATGATCTTCTTTTATGCTAGGCTTTACCTGAAGTGGCCAATTTCTAACATTCAGAAAACTAGAGATTTCTTTGAATTCATTGGAAAGTTCTAAGAGTTCCTATTACATTCTGCCTAATAAAAAGGAAACAATGTTCTAATGAAAGGTATTGAGATGAAGTATAAAGTAACATAGATCTTTAAATGAGGTCTATGTTACAGAGATGATATATATTTTATATTTTAAAAAGACATTATGATGAGTCACTAAGGGTACTGAGTGCCCTAACTTTCATTCCTAAGTAAACAAGGGACAATTATAACCAATCCCATGGCCCCAGAGTAAGGCCTTGGTTTCAAATGTTGACACTATATTAATATATTATTTTTAGAAATTTAAATTAAACAAACAGAACATGTTAAATATGCACAAGTTCGGTATTCAGAATTATTTTGCCATACCTAATCCTCTGTATAATATTCTTTACTACCTAAATACAAAGACAATGTTAATCTCTGACTTCTAAGTTTCCTCCTCCTCTCTTCTTCCTCAGGGTAAAGTGAAGAAGAGACAGGAGTGGTTAGGTGGGAGAAAAGTATGTAAATTGTGGTAAATTATATCTTTTCTATGAAATAAAATGATTATAAAATTAATCAATTGGATTATAAAATAATTATGGCTAGAAGTATGTTGCTAATTGAAAACTCCTCCGTAATTGTTGTAAGCTATAAACCTGGAAATTTATTTTCATTAGTGCTATACATATATATTTTTTCCAGTTAGCTTTTCAGCTATATTGCATAGACAAAATAGTATTTATAACCCATGTAAATTATTTTCTAATTTTGAATAGCCTAGAATGATGGTTAAATCAATACATTTTGTATTTATGATGCTATTAAAATATAAATTATATCTGTATCATTTTAGCAGTTTTAATATATTTCCTCTAAAATTTTAAATGTTTTATTTAACATTTTTTATTTACCCCCCTCAATCAAAAAACTCCACTCTTTAATAATAAACTTTCTTTAAGCTAATATCGACATCTTACAAGTTTCTGGAATGCTTTCTTGAAGTCTTCATTAAAGATTGTATAAATCATTGGATTTATAAGGGAGTTCAGATAACCAAGCCATGCCAAAAAGTTTGACATTTCTTCAGAAATTTTACAGTTTTCACAGATATTAACAACCAATTCTTTTACAAAAAAAGGAAGCCAGCATATTACAAATGCACCCAAGATTAAACCCAGGGTAGTGGCTGCTTTGCGTTCTCTTGTGCCTGAGATCTTTTGCCTTCTCCAAGATTTCTCATGCTTGAGCTGAGATCTGGGACTTTTCACTGTGCTATGGATTTTATCAAAGTCTGTTGATGGATCAGATAAAGACTTTTCTAGCATGTAGGGTGTGGAGACCAGCCTAGTGTTTTTTTCACCACTCTCCAAAAGCACTTGGCCATTCAGCTCCTCCTTTGCAATTCGACTTGCTTGTCTCTTATGGTATAATGTCCTTGCTGCTTTATATATTTTGTAGTAGAGGATCAAAATCAATATAAGTGGGATGTAGAAAGCTCCAAATGTTGAGTAAATAGTGGAAACAATGTGATCATGCTTGATGATACACTCATCATCACGGCTAGATCCTTGGTGCCTCCAGAATAGAGGAGGCATAGAGATAAACACAGATATGACCCACACTATTGTGATCACAATGCCAGCATGCTTGGGAGTCCTCTTCCTGGCGTACTCAACAGCGTCTGTGATTGCTCGGTACCGATCCAAAGCAATAGCCGAGAGATGCAAGATGGAGCACGTACAACAGATAATGTCAACACTCAGCCAAATGTCACAGACTACTTGTCCCATGATCCAGCTCTCTCTCACAATATACACTATACTGAAGGGCATCACCAGGACAGCTACAAGAAAATCTGTGACTGCAAGGGAGCAAATTAAGTAGTTGGCTGGGTGGTGCAGCTTCCGGGTCACAATGATTGCAGCAATCACAAGGGAGTTGATGGTGGTTGTCATCAGTGCCAGCCCGGAGAGAGTGAGGGACACCAGAATTTTGGATGGCATTCTGTTTAACAGTTCCTCTGAAGTCAAGTTTTGGTCAGATGAGTTTAAGAAATCCATTTTGTTTTTGTTTTAAAAGATTAGCATGGCTGAAAAATGGACACCTGTAACAAAGGAGGGGAAAAACAGTTCAGAGAATTTTTTTTTCCTTTCAGAAAAAGTATATTTGCATTATTTCAGAATATTTTATACATTAAAAATGGAATTGTTTTTTTCTCACTTAAAATATACAAGAACAGATTGCAACTTTCCAAAACTTTCTTAAAATATGGATTACATAAAATAGTTTTTATCGTAAGCTCTTTACAATGATAAAAACCATATTAAATATATAATATATTAGACTGTATTGATCCTATGTTTTTATCTTTGTCTATAGCAAAAAAATTTAAAAGTATATGTTGTAATAATATACTTATGCATTAATTGTATTAATGTAAGAGTATTACTAGAGGCAGAGTCAAAATCATAGCCAATTTTATATTTAACTCAAAGTTATATGAGAGCTATTATCATTGGGCACATGGAGATCAAAGGAATTTTTAAATATTTTAGAGTCAGTGTGTAGAGGTTCCATAAATGGGAAATAAGTTTTAAAAAACCAGTATATGTTAGCATTCTGTGATCATTTTATGGAATTGAAGAATGTCAGAGTGTTTAGTAGTCTTATGGATGTAAGTAGTTTAATTTGGTTTAAAGATAAAATAAGATTAGTTGTAGTCAATATCCTACATCATACCATTATAATAATGACATAGGTGAACAATAACCTGCTCACCAAGGTGAACTCTGTGAGGAGAGCTTCATAGTGACATTCACTCAGAAAGGAAAGTAGTTGTTTGTAAGTCAGCTCGTAATGACTAAGTCATCTTCTTCTGAAAGAGGACTCTCCACCCACAGTTTATAATTCTTGCTTTAGGCTATGCTTTCTTATTAGAGTCAAATAAAGGTTGGGATGTAGTTAGCTCAGTGGTAGACATTTGGCCACCATATTTAAGGCTGGTTAATCCCCAGGATAGAAAAAAATCAAATAAGAACAATTTGGAATGCAATGAAGTAAGATTAACACTCTTTATCAGATAGTTTCCCCATTAGCTTTCTTTCTCTTTTTTAAAATAATTCTTTAGCAATGGCTTGAATCTTAGAAAAAAAATACAGAGCAAGCTCTGCACAGAAAAAACAATGCACATTAATTATTCAAAAGGGTTTCATTCTGATAGTTTCCTACATGCTCATAGGGCACTTTGATCGAATTCACCCCCTCTATTACTCTTTCTTATCTCCCCCAATTTTAAATGATTTTAACAGGTTTTCATTATTCTATTTTCATACATGCATATGAAGTATTTGTATCATATTCACTCTCCCTGAAACTGTATTTCTTTTTTTGTTCTTTTAGCAGTACTGGTGTTAGAACTCAGGGTTTTGTGCTTGCTAGGTAGATGCTCTACCACTTGAGCTATGACTCCAGCCCTTTTTGCTCTGGTTATTTTGGAGATAGGGACTCGCTTTTTGCCCAGGCCAGCCCGAACCATGACCCTCCTATTTGATGCTTCCTGCCATCACTGGGATGACAGAAGCCTGCCACCATGTCCAATTTTTTGCTGTTCAGATGAGATCTCACAAACTTTTTACCACAGGGCTGGCCTGGAACTGTGATCCTCCTGATCTCAGCCTCTTGAGTAGCTTGAGATAATAGGTGCACACCATCAACACCTGGCTCAGAAACTTTATTATTAATTAATTTGGCTATACTTAATATCCCATAAAATATATTACTTAAAGTGGTAAATTTCATTTGTTATAGATGATAGCATAATAATTTGAAATACCTTATGTCAAGTACTTCACGAGAATGTAATCATATACATGATGTGATTAAGCATATTCTAAAACACCTTATTATGCTGCATATTTGTTCTTCTATTTGTGCTTGGATTGCCAGCATTAAATTCTGTTTTGAATTTCAGATATTCATTGAAACAGGATGCTAAGCAAATTGAGTGACAGAAGAAATGTGAGTGCCTGCTGCCTGGGTAAATTAGTGGTAATCCATTATGTAATTGAGAAATTGCTTCATATCTACCTTACTAATATCAACATCCATTGTAAAGAAACGAAGACAAACTCCAGGTAAAGAATGGAGTCTAAAGTCTTCTTGAGAAATTCTCTAAACAAGTGGCTCACAAAATTTAGTGAGCCCAGAATCACAGCAGGACTATTTAAATACAGATTCCTGGGTCTACCTCTCGAATTTGTCATTCACTAAGTGTGAGGCCCTCAAGTTTCATGTTACTAACAAATTCCCAAGTGAGGCTGATTTAGTGGTCCAGTTGGTGCATTGGATTGCTTTCATTCTTTGTCTAATATTTCAATGTTATCGCATCAATGAGTTCCTCTCTACTGAGAGCATTTGTGATTATTTCTGCTATAAAACTTTTCAGCATTGTTCTTTCTCACTTTCTTATTTTTAAATTTCTTGGCATTCTCAAATAAATATCTCACCCTAACTTACTTTGTATGTTTTCATTTATGCCTATCTTCATGTAGTTCTGGACCTCCTTCTAAGGGTCTATTAATTAAGGGTCTATTAAGGGTCTAGTTAATTCCCCCTTACCTCATGTTGTTTTCTCGTTATGGAGTTACAGCATTGATCCATTACTGATGGATCACAGGGCTTGAGATGCAACAGGCACTTATAGGCACCATCAAATTGTCATTAAAATATCTAATATGCATTTTCTACATTAAAGACCTCATGGTCCTTATGTAGCTTTCGGGAAACATTTTAAGGCAAAGGCCATGTGTAAATGCTTATTCCAAAGAAAGCAAACACATTAGAAACATGCTAGACTAATTAATTTCTACTTTATTTCCAACACCCCTTTCTCAACATAAAAATTATACTATCATAGTAATTAAAGAACTGAATAGTTTCTAAATTGTTAGTTTCTTTGCAATGTTGCTTACTTAATGCTATGGAATTGATTATAAACTGATGACATTTCCATATTATAAGCAAAAATAACTTTCCACTTTAATTTGCCTGATAGACAGTTTATGATAAGCACAAGAGAAATCCTCAAATTATATTGAGAGATATTAAACAAGAACAATTGGTCTGGACATTTATATGTGAATTTTCCATAGTAAAAATCAAATGCTTGTAGGAAGGTGGATCAGCAAAATGAGAGATGAATCTAGTCTTGATAATTTGACGATTTATCTAAGTGTAACATTGTCAGCATTTAAATTATCCTTTAAAAATGGACTTAATCCAGGAAAAAAAATCAAAACTTTTGTCATAGTTTAGAATTATATGACAAAATTTATGTCATGCTAAATTATGTTGTAGTTTGCAGGACACTTCCAACAGCAAATTTAAAAACTTAATTATTTTCTGAAAGTAAATCATAGGTGACAAAGAGACTAGGGAAACAAGTGCAAATGATCACACTTGGGTTTCATTTTTCTTTTTTGTCTTGTGTTCCTTGCTACTACAAGTGAAATCCAGCAAAGCATCTACCTTCACTATTCTCAGCCATATTGTTTATAAGATTTCTTCATGTTCTTATCGTCTTTAAGTTCCCACTGTGTATCCTCATAGTGTCATGGAACCAACTCTGGGTTACTCAATGGACTATGTTACATATGTCTCTCCTACTCTTAGACAGCATTCTGTATTTTAAATATTGAATGAATTTAAATATTTTAAATAGTCAAGATTATTTTCAGTAGAGGCTGTGGTCTCCTCAGTTCTATGTAGAAAAGTTCCCCAGGCTTCCCTCAGAATGAATATTTGCCAACTTGTTGGTCTAGTCATGTGACACATTTACTTTTCTGCATATACACACATTTTAATGAATGAGTGAATTAATTAATTTTTTGCAGTACTGGAGTACTTGGGCCCTTTTGCTTGTGAGACAGGTACTCTACACCCTGAGGAACAAATTCTCCAAAGTATCATTTTACTCTCTGAAAAAGATGTATTACTTAATGGCTATTTTTTAGTGATGTGGTCTATAAAGTAACACTTTTTTATAGAATATAAAAAGTGTTTCATAAGTGGGAAGTGAGCTCATATGGAAGCAGATATCCAACAGAATGAATAAACACATATTTACAATAAACACATATTTATTATAAACACAACTAAACACATATTTATAATATAATCATACAATACAATAAGGTCACTATTAAGATAAGTTTAAAGTGTCTTGGACATGCCAGTGAGGGAGGATTAATTATGCCAGTGTAAACATAGTGAAAGCCTTTTCAGGAAGAGGGATAAGTATAGTAGCAAGGAGGCATGAAAAATTAAAGATATCATTAGTCTGATGTACTACTTACTTAAATGCAGCCAAGGTTTATTAGGACTGGACCTAAAGCAACATCAAATGTGAATCAATGCTAAGTTGACAAGGATGGACTATGCTGGAATGTTTGTTGTCGATTCAGCATCATAAAGATTCCCAATAATGCTGCAATGTAGAGAAGTAGGAACTACATTTCCCTTCTTTAAGTTGTCCAGCTCAGAGTTTGACCAAAATTGGAATTGTCATAAGGACTGGGAGGCTGAAGAGTCTGAGGGTTTATGGTTGCAATAAGATGTATGGGCAGATATGGACAGCCAGCTTCTCTGTGTGCTATGCAAAAAAAAATTTAGAATTTCCATAACTTCCCCAAGGAAGCCTGCTGAGATCACCTACTTTGGGGCTTTGATAAGCTCTTTCCCATGTTGTACCTTTGAACTTTTAGGGCAGACAAATGGATTGCATGTAAATTTTGACATCCTTGGTCTTTGTCTTAGCCTTTTTCAACATGGAAACTCTGATGTCTTCCAATTTAAACCTCTTATTTAAAATACTTTTTGGCTTTTTAGTCTAGCCAGCTTCCCAACTGATGTTAAGCAGTTATTTTTGCCTAGATAGTTGTTGAAAAAATCTCAGTTTTTTTTCACCTATGTATTTGGTATTAGAGGGATATGATAGAAGTGTTTTGAGAGGATTTATGAAAATCAGCTGATTGTGCTTTATTAATATTGAAAAATAAGGCAGTCATACACTTGAAATTTTTTTCTTACCCAAAGGCAAATA